CATTCAATTAGAGGATTATGAGGCTGATTAATCTGAGAAAACATGGCCCAATTTATCCAGTGAGCATCAAGATCAAATGGTAATTTGAATCCAGGCCTCTCTTGTGCAAGATTGGTTGCTAGATTGCATTGATATTAAAATATATTTTAACCAGGGGTGAAATCTAAATTTTTTTGCTACCGGTTCTGTGGGCGTGGCTTAATTAGTGGGTATGGCTTGGTGGTAAGGTGACTGGGTGGGCATGGCCAAGTCAATGTCACTTCTTTGCCTTTTTTTAACCTACAAAACACGACACAACACAATTGGCTCACCCCCAATGTAAAAGCAGCTGTGCTAGACTCAAAATGGCCTCACAACAAGCAGGAACCTCACACAGTCCCAAAAAGCCCAAAAAACCAACTTTCACACGTCACACACACAAAATTCCACATAAAGCTTTGTGAGATTTTGTGTGTTTGTGTAGTTAGAGTAAAACACTACAGAAACACACTAAATCTCAGAAAGCTGCACAAATATTATTTTATTTTTTATTTATTTTTATTTTTATATAAAAGCAGCTAAATTTAAATCTTCCTAAACTTTAAATGGCTAGGTCTAAAAAAAGAACAACTAAAAAAAAACCCAATTAACTTTTTTTTTTAAAGCTCCCAAAGGAGAAAAAAAACTTACCCAATAGAACAGGGGTCTCCAACCTTGGCAACTATAAGACTTGTGGACTTCAACTCCCAGAATTCCTCAGCCAGCTTTGCTGGGAGTTGAAGTCCACAAATCTAGGCAGGAAGGCAGGCAGGCAGAAAGAGCTGCTCACCGATGAGCTTGATTGCAGGCAGGGATATTCAGTTGCTTGCTGATGCATGGATTGCGATCATCATGCGATCAGCAGCTAAGGTAAGCAAGCTGGAGGCTGTGGGGGGAGAAAAAAATTTTTTTTTCTTTTACATGGCTCTGGCGATCCAAGCTGAGTTGCCTGATTAGCAGGCAACTCAGCTGGGATGTCAGAGCTTGGCTGGTCAGAGCCATTTAAAAGGGAAAAAAAGGCTCTGATGATCGCGGGGCTCAGCTGGACATGGGGGGCAGGGGCAGGGATTTTTGCTACAGGTTCTCCGAACTGCCTGCCGCCGTTGCTACCTACTCGCCCGAGCCAGTCCGAACCGGGAGCATTTCACCCCTGATTTTAACCCTTAACCACAGATGTATTATTTTGGCTACACTATTACAGACATGAGGTCATAATGACCTCTGTAGCAAAAAGACATTTGATGTTTTCATGGTTGGATCTAAAAATTGATTTATAAAGCAGTAAACCAAAAAATATATTGATCTCTATCAAACTCACGTTGCGCAGGTCACTTTTTGTTTCTCCATCCTTGAACTTCAATCTTTCTTCTCTCATTTTTACATTGGTCCACTGAATGATGGCGCTAACAATTTCTTTAGAAAATAATAATTTCCAAATCTCTAGGGGAATAGGGGAATTTCCGTGATTTCTAGCTGCTGGCTGTAGTCGTGGTAATTGCACAACAATATTGTGCAATATTGTTGTGCTGTTCTGGATCTATTGCTTCCAAAAGGTGCAGAAGACCATTTGAATGTGTTCTTTCCATATCAATTATTGCACAATTTAGCTTGTACCTGGTCATCAATTTCATTGGGACCTTCATCATTGCTGATGTCAGAATCAGCGGCAGTGGCAGGTTCCTCATCATCCATTACAAAATTTTCGTCACAATCCGCTTCCGCTTCACTCAGACCACTCTCTGCTTCTCCATACCATTTTAGAAAGTTTTTTCGAAGTTTCTTTGAACTTTGAAGTTCGAAGTTTGTATCACCAAATTTTTTTGATGGAAAACTTGGCCCCGGCATTATAAAAAAGAATACGTTAACAAAGATCTGTGGTCAAAATGACCGAAACTCAAATTCAAATGCCGCTACTGAAAACACCAAATAACTGATGCAAGAGTGAATGCTGCACACACTCTTATTGGTGGGAAAACAAAAGCTATTCACAACCGGAATGGTCCATTTCTAAAAAAAATAGGGGTGTTCCAAACATTTTGGAAAACTGTTGCAGTCACTAGGGTTATGGGTTATGTTGCAAGTCTGTGATTATGGGTTAAAATAATAATAATATACAAAGGGGGTATTTTGACAGGATCTGAGTTTAGAAATGAGTGCTTTTGGGTTGGAAATGTTAGATATGTGCATGAACATGTATTGATGTGAATTTTAACAATATATGGATGTTTTGAGCCTCCTTTGATATAATTTCTCCCACATTGGACACAAAGCAGGATGTGGGATGGCACCGGAAGTAAAGAGTTAACCTTCCCAAATACTTTCTTGAGAATAAGCTTCACTCCAAAGCAAATGTTTCTTGTGGCAAGAGAAAGTGACATTTTATTATTTTGAGAAAAATTCCCCAGCTGGTGGATTAAACAGATGTCTCAAGAATATACAGTAGTGGCCAAAATTGTGGAAACCTTTTGGGAAAAGTGTATTTTTGATGTTTGATGGCTAATAACACCACTTTTTTTTTTTTTTGAGTTTCAAATTAATTCTATTCCACTGCTGGAATAGCCCAGACCTTAACCCAATTGAAAATCTATGGAGCCGACTAAAGAAACTTGTTAGTCAGGAGCGACCCAGCAATAAAACCCCAGTTAATAGAAGCAATCATTCAATCTTGGTTTCACATTAGAACAGCTGCAGAACTAAAAGACTTGGTTCACTCCATGGGAAGACATTGTAATTCATGCTAAAGGTTTTTGGGCATCCAAAAAAACTAAGGCCATTTGCTTTTCTGGGTGGGCTTCGTAATATTCTAAAGTATCTACAACTATTCTTATATTATTCCTAATTTGTCTGCCAGGCAGGAAGCCATTCCGGTCTGTATGTATCATAGCATTTAGTATTCTTTTCATTCTTTCAGCCATTATGCTCATAAAAATTTTATAGTCCGAATTTAAAAGGGAAATTGGCCTATAGTTTTTTATTTGTTTTAGGTCGGTACCTTCTCTTGGCAGCAATGTAATGTATGCTTCCCTCCACGAATCAGGTATTTTAGCTTCCAACAACGCCTCGTTGCATATCTCCAGTAATTTTGGTAATAGTATTTCATCCGATTTTTTTGTATGTTTCTCCTGGGAGACCGAAACAACAAAACCGAAGCAACAGAAACTCACCACATGTGACCTGGGAAGCACATGTGACCATCAGCCAGCAAGGCTAGCTAAGACTCCCACCCCCTGGGAGTCTGACAACCAATCAGGATACTGTTTCGGGGCCCCAGGAAATGCAAAGCCAGAGAGAGCATAAAAACCCGAGGATTTACTGTATCTGCCCTTTTTCTGTTCAGGAACTCAAGCCATGTGATCCTGTCCACCATTAAACCATCTTTTCAAGCAGTCTCCATGTTTCCAGTGTCTTTTTTCCCACTTGGAGCAGAACCCAGAAGGATGGTTCTTCCAGCACATCTAAACAAGATGTTGCTTTTGTTTAGTTGCATGGCTAGGAAGTGATAGTCTATTCATAGTTCCCTTACTTTCCTAGGAACTTGCTTCAGCGTTATCACTTCCTTCCCCTTATAGATCATCGGCTCTTCCCTTGTTATATTGTACAATACGTCTCAGACTTTTTTTCTAGCGAACCTAATGTGGACCTCCCTTGGCAGCTTATGCCTTCTGGTGTAGTTTGTCTGCCTCCAGTACACTTCGTCCAATTCCTTTATTATTTCCTGTTTATCCTGTTGTAGGGCCTCAGCAATCAACTCCGCCATCACTTGCCCCAAATCTTCTTCTTTACCTTCCATTACATTTTGGAATCATAGGTAGAAAGCCACCCGGTCCATCTCCAACTGAACGATTGAATCCTCGAGTCCTCTGTTTTGAGCCATCAATTTTTGGTCTACCAATTCAAGCTTTTTTTCATTTTGTTCCACCCTAGTTTCTACTTTCTTTATTTTTTGTTCATTTTTATGGATTGACTCTTGTATGTCATTCATTTTATAATCTAGGGATTTGATGTCTATCTTTAGTTCATCATGGTTGCTGGACATTTTCTCCTGCATTTTCACCATCGTTTCTTGTATCAGCATCAGGGTGGATTGCATGGCCTGCATTGTTGGGATTACCACAGATTTTTCGGTTTTTGATAGTCCTTCTGTCGATCTTTGAGTTATGGGTGAGGCCATAGTAATTGTGGGGTTTGGAGTAGTTTTTTTTCCTGTTCTTTGCACTGTTGTGGAAAGACTTGCCATTTCTTTCAGGATCCTCTTTTGATCTCTCACTATCCTATCAATGTTCCTCTAAACTATTGTCCACTAGCGTTACCTATTTTACTTTTTCTTATTCTCCTTATCTGTCGCAATAGTGCTGGGATTAACAGAGGCGTCTGGTCGAGCGGTGAGCGCTCGCCTCGTGCTTTTCCACTTGCCTGACTCCCTCTCTGGTTCGCAACACTCTCCAAGCTTTTGCGCCCCTAGGGGTCCCCAAAACACAAAGAAATCTGGGGTTGGAGAGCAGAGAGCACTCTCCTACCTCCGTATTGCCACAAATCGCCAACCAGAAGTCTGTAATTGCCATTCAAATAGCAAATCTTTCATAACAGTTACTGCATTACATTAGGGGTGAAATGCTCCCAGTTCGGAGAGGATCGCCCAATCCAGTAGCAATGGAGGCGAGTGGTTTGGAGAACCAGTAGCAAAAATCCCTGCCACCACCACCCCCCATGCCCAGCTGAGCTACACAATCATCAGAGGGTTTTTTTTTTTTAACTTTTAAAAGCATTTTTTCTACAACCTGTTCGGCCAAAAAAATGCTTTTAAACATTAAAAAAAAGCCTCTGATGATCGTGCAGCTCAGCTGGGATCGTCAAAGGCTTTTAAAAGGAAAAAAAACCCTTTTTTTCTTTTAAATGCCTCTGACGAGCCAAGCTGAGTTGCCTGATCGTCAGAGACTTTTTTTCTTTTAAATGCCTCTGACGATCAGGCAACTCAGCTTGGATCGTCAGAGGCATTTAAAAGAAAAAAAGTTTCTGGAAATCAGGCAACTCAGCTGGGATTTTGAAAGCATTTTTTTACAACCTCTTCACCAAAGAGGTTGTAGAAAAAATGGTTTTAAAAGTAAAAAAAAAAAAATTGACCAAGCCATCCAGTCACATTACCCCCCACCACCAAGCCACACCCACAGAACTGGTAGTAAAAATTTTTAGATTTTACCATTCTTGATTAAATGATCTTTCCATTGATATATTATTTTATGGTACTACTCCTCCCCAAAAAAGTGGTGTATACACTTTTCCCAAAAAGTTTCCACAATTTTGGCCACTGCTGTACAAATACATTAAGAAGAATTAATATTCTGGCCATAGATCTTTCCTTCTTGAGCAAAATCAAAACATGAGTGGCTGCCATCAGATGTCTTGCCACTTCTCAAGCTGTTCAGGTAACACTGCTATGCTCCTCTTTGAACCTTCTTTCAGAGTTTTCTTTTCTTTTCTAAAATGGAGCCGTAGATCTCCTCCGTCATGGGTGTGTAGTTCTTCTCCAAGTGATCCAGGAAGAAGAGGGGATCACTGATCGTGGCAGGATTGAATCCATCTCTCACCAGCTGAGCTTTCAACTGCTTGAAAGTTCCTGTAATCGCCAGCTTTTCCTGCATGAAGTATAAGGCAGAGGTGAAAACAGAGATGAGAATTTGTCCTTCACTATTGCCCTGCCTCATTAATAAAGCCAGTGAATGGTGCTTCCCTTATTCTCTTATTGTCTCTAGTGTGAGACAAATTAAAGAAATTTGTTCGATGGATTCCCACCAAGTGTTATTCCCCCACGAGAAAATCCATCACACCACTTTCTTAATGGGTAGTGAGGCATGTATGAGCAAGTGTTGGAGACAGGGGTGGGATTCAAAAATTTTAGCAACCGGTTCTCTGCCCGGTTGCTCGGTGTGCTTGACCATGGCAGGCATGGCCTACTCAGCCTCCTGCACTGCAGTGGGGTGGCATTTTCACTCTCCCCAGGCTCTGCAGGTTTTCTTCAAGCCTCCGGGAGGGCGAAAACGGCCTCCCCTGGGCTTTGCAGGCCCTCCGGAGGCTGCAAATGGGCCCGTTTCTGGACTTCCGGAACTTCCGGGAGGCCTGTTTTTAACCCTCCCCAGCTCCGGATACTTTCCTTGAAACCCTTACAGTTTATAGAGTCAGCATATTGCCTCCAACAATTTGGGTCCTCATTTTACTCAAATTGAGGGCAGCTGGCAGTCAGCAGATGTAGCCTGCAGTACGGCACTCTAACCACTGCGCCACCGCAGCTCATAAATCATCGATGTACTTCTACTTTTTAATAAAATGAAAGCATTGTTAAAGCAAAGAAACTCCATGCAGATTCATTTGGTAACTTTCATTACTAGCAATCCTTACTATAATTTATTCCAGTTATGGTTGTTATTCATTTTTTTTAAATAAAATCAAACCTACATTTACTTCCTTTCCACTCATATTATGATTGGCATCAGCACTTCTACTTCTATTATACTTTAAGATGCTGAGGTATGTGGTTTTGAGTTATTTTTTTTCTAATGGTAAGCAAGAGCATAAATCAACTGTTTCTTACCTGGATACGAATGAAGTGGGGTATGGCATAGCTAGGGAGATAATCCTTGGTATGCATGAACAGTTTCTTTCCATCAAAGGGGCACCCATCCTTCAGCCGTATGGCTGCCATCCCAATCTTTCCTTCATGCCCTGGAACAAATCAGAATGGGATAACTGACAATAAAGATATATGTTGTACAGAAAAAATAATAAAATTGTTGGTTGCTACTGCTAGGCCTGGTAACCCTCATTCTCTCTTCTGTCCCCATGAAGCTGACAATATCTTATGCTCAGTTCATGACTGATGCTATGATTTAGCCTTATCCTGCTGCTTCCCATATCACAAAATATCCATTTTTGTTATGTACCATATTTTTTGGAGTATAAGATGCTTCACAGTATAAGACACATCTTACGTTTTGTGGGAGAGTTTAGGATGGTTTGGAAACTGAAACAATATTTGCTGTCTCCAAGGAAGGAGAAAGCAAGGAGCCTGGGCATGGCTCTGAGTCTGTGCTGAGCTCTAAACTAGTCTGCTGCTCAAAACTGAAACTGAAACTCCTCTCCTCTGCTTGTGTTTTCCATGTTGGAAAACCTGCTTTTGGTGTTGTATATTTACTTCATGTGTTATATTATAACAAGAAGTTATTGAATCCTGCTGAATCAGTTACTTGTGTGTGCTTTCTGGATGTGATTGCTGCTGCAAACTCTGAGTCCTTGCAGCAAATAGCAAACAGCCAGGTCAGCTTCAGCACATTATTACAGCCTGATTCAGCACAAGCAGCTGATTGGTGGGTGGATTGGCCTCCTGGAATATCCCCAATCAGCTGTTCCAGGCTTCAGGGATTGCCACAGACCGTTGCTGCCTCTATACCTCATGTTTTTGACTACATTTGGTGTATAAGGCACACCCAAATTTTCACCCTCCTTTGGGGGAGGGAAGTGTGTGTTATATTTTGAAAAGTAGAGTAACTAAAGAGTAGTAGCACATAAGGAAAAATGTTGCAGGTCTACTTGCAGTACAAGGTAAATCTTCAAAATGGCACTAGCTGAAAGAAAATATGGGACTGCTTCTCTATTCTATCTAACTTAGATTTTTCTACCCTTGGGCTTGTATCAATCAATTTACAGATGTGAAATAGCTGATAGACTACAGGTAATGAATAATCTAACCAACTTGTCAGTGGGCGCAGCTGCCGCTACCAGTTCATCTGAACCAGATAGAACCGGCTGAATACCACCACTGGTGTGTAGAAGAGTGTATAGGTGTTTCAAACTCACCTGGCACTGGTACTCCATATACATTGACTTCCTCAATGATATCCAAAACTGCCAATGTCATCTCAACCTCAGTGGTAGCCACGTTCTCACCTTTCCAACTGCCAAAACAGGAGGGATTGATTTCTTTCACAGGTCGGTAGAATGTATCAATAATGTATTATTTAGCATTTGGATATTCCAGTAGATGGCTTCATTCACAAGATTTATTTCTGGGTTTTTGACCAGGGGAACATGTTACTTAACTCACTGAGGTAAACTCAAGGGGATGGGCCTGCTAGCAAGCATAGGGAGAATTCCTATCAATAGAGGAAGTTATTTACTATGGTCACTCAGCCAGGGATGGGATTCAGAAATTTTAGCAACTGGTTCTCAGCCCGGTTGCTGGATGGGCACTTTCCTCGAGTTTCTCAGAGAGCAAAAACAGCCTCTCTGGGCTCCAGAGGCCCTCCAGAGGTCGGGAACAGGCCCATTTTTGGACTTCCAGTACTTCCGATAGGCCCGTTTTTTGCCCTCCCCAGGCTCTGGAGGCTTTTGTTGAGCCTCAGGGAGGGTGAAAATGGCCTCCCTGGGCTCTGGAGGCCCTCTGGAGGCTGGAAACAGGACTGTTTCTGGACCTCTGGAAGTTCCAGTAGGCCCGTTTTTCACCCTCCCAGAGCCTCCGTACAGACCCTGCAGTTACTTGGCATCTAAAAGCGTGGAGACTCCTGGGAGGGGTGGGGAGGCATGGGCGGGGTCAGCCAGTCCTTACAACTACTGGTTCAGCAAACACGATTAAAATTAACATCCGATTTGCCCGAATCGGTCTGAACCAGCTAAATCCCACCCCTGCACTCAACCATAGTAAATAATGTTTGTGTGAATAAATGCCCATGACTGACAGAGGGTTAAAAGAAAATAACAGTGATAATTACTTTGTTAACCAAGTTCATGGAACAAACCATTGATTAGTTATAATATAAGCATGGATTAGGTCACCATCACATAAAATCTAACAAAATATGTTATCCATTGGAAAAATAATATATGCAGCTCAGGGTTGAAATGTTAGGTTTTAGTGCTCTCTGAGCTTGCTTGTTTCCTTGCAGACAATTATTACCAGACTTGGGACCATCATCAATGCCCTGTATGGGTTGGTACCATAGATAGGGAGTTGTAGGTTTATTGTTCGGTTGTTCTTTGGCATTCACTACAATTTATAGAGTCATAAAGTATCAGTGAACACAAATGAATCCTGTCCCCATTCAGTATCTTACTTCAGACAAGCAAAACTACAGATCCAATTTAGCAACTAAATGAATAGTGAGACTCACCGGAAAGTATCTCCCATCCGATCATGGAAATAGATAAAACCTTCCTGGTCTTCCCTCAAAAGATCTCCGGTATTAAAATAACTGTCTCCTTTCTTCAGGACATTACGCAGAATTTTCTTCTCTGTGTTTCCATGATCTCCTGCATAGCCGTCAAATGGGACTACCTTACTTATCTTCACCACCATCAAACCTGCCTGTCCTAAAACATCAAAAGGGAATCAAGTGGAATCAAGTGGTCTCACAACAAAGAACCAATAGCACCTCTAAATAAGGATTATCCGATCTTCCAATCATCAGCTGCTAATAACTTCCCAAAAGACAAAGCGAGTTATAATCCTCAGCCTTTTCTCGCTTGCACTTTCCTCACTTCAGCATAAGTATGTGCTAGCAATACTTTTTGCACTGTGTCCTCATGACATCATCATCATCCAATGTGTCCAAAAGGAGTGTGACTATTGGTTGATATGAATGGATTGTTGATATATGCTCTGTCTAGAATGGATAGACTATCCCTGAGATGGCGAACCTATGCAAGCCTGCCACAGATGGCACACAGAGCCCTCTCTGCAGGCACGTGAGCCATCACCCCAGCCCAGCTCCACCGCACATGCACTTGCACCTCCCGCCAGCCAGCTGATTTTTGGATCTCTGCTGTGCATGTGAGGGGCCGGAGCACATGCGCATGCGTGGGTGGGTGGGGTGCGCATGGGGGGGTTGTGTGTGCATTGCATTATGGGTTATAACTGCACGGAGGCCTACTAGGCCCAAAATGGGGCATGGGGATGTGGCGCACCCCCCCACACACACATCCTGTTTTTGCTCCCAGGAGGCTGCAGGGAGGCCTACTAGGCCCAAAACAGGGTGCGAGGGGGGATACGAGATGTAGTAAGACACTTACACTGATTATATTGGTTACATCAATTATATGAATTGGTTATATGAATTAAAAGAATTGGCATTTATTTTAGGGAAGTAAAAAAGATTATACACCCCTCTCATCCCTACCCCCCATCCTTCATATATTTTATTTTATTTTATTTTATTTTATTTTATTTTATTTTATTTTATTTTATTTTATTTTATTTTATTTTATTTTATTTTATTTTATTTTATTTTATTTTATTTTATTTTATTTTATTTTATTTTATTTTATTTTATTTTATTATTTTATTTTATTTTATTTTATTTTATTATTTTATTATTTTATTTTATTTTATTTTATTTCATTTTATTTATTTATTTATTTATTTATTTATTTATTTATTTATTTATTTATTTATTTATTTATTTATTTATTTATTTATTTATTTATTTATTTACTTACTTATTTATCTTATATGCCACCCTCTCTCCGGAAAGGACTCAGGGCGGCTCACAGCAATAAAACAGACAAATCAATATTAAGTGTTAAAACCATTAAAACTCCCCTTAAAAACCCCTTCAATCCAATCTGGCCTGGCGAAATAACCCTGTTAGATTACACCGTCCCCCCATCAAAGTGGATCCTGGGCACTGCGCTGCAATGGAGAAATGGGCAATGGAGCGGCCAGCACAAGGGAAGGAGGAGGGAAAGAAGCCTTCTCCTTCCCTCATGCCGGCCGCTCCATTGCCCGTTTCTCCATTGGAGTTCAGCGCAACATCCGGGATCCACTTTGATAGCAGGGATAATTTAATAACAACAATGCTTGAACCGGTGCGAACCGGCTGAATACCACCACTGGATTGGCTGCAATATCATGATCAAAACTCACATGCCTCAGTGAATATTAAAAGGGTTGAGGTTTTGATTGCACAGTCACAGCTGCCATCTTGATATTTTTTATACATGGCCCCAAGCCTTACTCTTGAGGAGACCTCCTTCTGAGGAGCCACTCCTGCCTTTTGGCAGCTCTGCGCACCAGTGCATCGAGAAGAGGCTCCTCCTCTTCATCCTCTTCACTTAAGGGAGCTTCTGGAGGTTCTGAAGGCCCTGGCTGAATCCCTGCCTCTGGTACCACAGCTTCTCCAGCCTCATTGTCTGACTCAAATGCCAGCTGCACAGGCTGCTGGCGCAGCACCACACCAGCCTCCTCGCTGTCCGAATCAGCACCAGCCGCACAGGCCGCGTACGGGCCACAACACATGACCTGTTTGCAACTGGGCCATGGAAGCATTGGGTGAGCATGCACATGCATCTCCACTTGCTTGAACAATAGGAGAGCACGTGCGTGTGTGCTCCAATTGCGTGAACGGTGGGCACATGTGTGCACGCTGCTCACACAAATGAAGCTGCACATGCATGTTATGGCCGCTCATGCAGAACCATCTCCTCTTCCTCCCCTGCCGGTCTACAAAGCCAGAAAGGTTGGGAAACTCTGCCATATACCTGATGTTGCCTGGGATTTAAGTTCAAAACCATTCTTAAAGATCCATCTCATCCTAGGCACCTTTCTTTTTTTTTTTTTTGAACTATTACCATCTGGCAGACAGTACAGGTCAATAAAGACATTTGTTTCAAATGATTCCGGTGCTTAAAGGTGATAAACAGCTGATGGAGTGGCAAAAAGGAGTGAATAAGTTTGTTTGGAATGAGAAAAAGCCAAGAGTTAAATTGAAAATTATGCAAGATGTTCGTGAAAGGGGTGGCCTTAAACTTCCAAACCTACGACTGTATTATGAAGCAGCAGCGTTGACACACGCAAGTGATTGGTTTGGAAGGACAAAGATTGGAATACTGAATATAGAGAGTTATGATCTTGAATTTGGTTGGCATGCATATTTATTCTATGAAAATAAAGTGGATAAAGTATTCAACAGCCATATACTTAGAAACTCCTTGATGAGAGTATGGAAGAAGCACCGGTTCAAATGGGATTATAAAATACCGTTGTGGTTGGATCTTGGCCATATTATACGGAATATAAACATAAAGTCACTCGGGGGGTTTTTATACAAAGAAGTTCTTTTTAATGATGGGGGCAGATGGCAACTAAAGACATTAAATACACTGTTGGAAGAAGGGATTAATTTAATTTGGTTACAGTATAATCAACTTCAATTGAGATGGAGAGAAGATCAAAAAACTGGTTTAATGTTGCATGAAGAAGAATTGGTAAGACAGATAAAAGAGAAAGGCCCGATGCATATCAAGAGGGTTTATAATGTGTTGTTAGAAAGAGATTCAGAAAATGAATTGGTTAAAGATTGTATGATAAAGTGGGCGCAAAACTTTGCAGAACCAGTTATGATGGAAACGTGGGAAAAAATATGGGTTCAGAATGTTAGATTTACACAGTCACAGAATTTGAGGGAAATTTTTTATAAAATGTTTTATAGGTGGTATTTAGATCCTAAGAAATTGTCATGCATTTATCCTAATGTTCAACCAAAATGTTGGAGATGTGATTGTTTAGATGCTACATATTATCATATATGGTGGACTTGCAAGAAAGTGAAGGCTTTTTGGATAAAAATCTGGTGGGTTATGCAAAATGTTCTGAAGAAAAAACTCCAATTTTCTCCTCAACTGTTTTTATTGGGCATAGTTAAGGACTTTTCAATGGGTGAAATAAAATTGATATTGTATATGGTGACAGCAGCTAGGTTACTGATTGGTCAATATTGGAAAAGGAATGTTATGCCTACTATTGAAGAATGGACTTTGAAGGTGGCCAGTTTTGCAGAAATGGCGAAGATATCAGCATACTTAAAAGACAGGACTCAAGAGACTTATGTATGGGAATGGAAGAAATGGATAGATTATGTGCAGAATAAATATCAAACTAGGAAGTACCAGATAGCTTTTAGTTGAATGTTGTGTAGAAATGTATAGTATATAGGGGGTACAATAGTTCAATGTTGTGTAGAAATGTATAGTACACAGGGGGTAGAATAGATGGGAAGTAAAGTATGATACAATATGATTTGGATTTGGATTTCACCTTGGGGAAGTCATGGGAGGAGGGGAGGGTTAGGGAGGGTTAGGGAGGGAAAGGGGGGGGGAATGGGAAAATTTGTATTTGTAAAACTTTTTCAATAAAAAAAAAATAAAGACAAGGACAAATAGGCTGAAAAACAACTTCTATCCCAGGGCAATAACCATATTGAATTCTACGGTATAATGCAATATCGGGTTTTCAATTTCAATTATATAGAAGGTAAAGGATGTATGTTTGTGTTTTTATTTTTATAGTTATAGTGTACACTGAAGACAGCATTGTACCATGTGCAGTGACAATAAAGTAAACTATAAACTGTATACTGCACGAGTCAAAAAGAGGGCTGTGAAAATATTTACAGACCCCTCACATCCTGGGCATAAGCTGTTTCAACTCCCACCCTCAAAATGACACTATAGAGCACTGCACACCAGAACAACTAGACACAAGAACAGTTTTTTCCTGAATGCCATCACTCTGCTAAACAAATACTGTCAAACTATTTATTAAGTCTGCACTACTATTAATCTACTCATCGTTCCCACCACCCATCTCCTTCCACTTATGACTGTATGAATGTAACTTTCTTGCTTGTATCCTTACGATTTACACTGATCTTGTTCCTGATTGCTTATTTGTACCCTATGCCTATCATTAAGTGTTGTACCTTATGATTCTTGATGAACGTATCTTTTCTTTTATGTACACTGAGAGTGTATGCACCAAGACAAATTCCTTGTGTGTCCAATCACACTTGGCCAATAAAAAATTGTATTCTATTCTATTCTAAACTATTTATGGCAGTTTTGAAGCCATTGATTGAAGCCATTCAATGATTCAAGTTTTGAATCAATTGAAGCTCAATTGATTTGGAGGAGCAGGTTTGAAACGATTACACTGAAGGACGTATCTCTTTCTACGGGGTGAATTCTTGACAATGTAAAGTCTGATTTATCTTAAGTATGTCTCGTTTTCTTTTTTGTTCATCTGTTTTAGAAAACATACCTGTAGGCACTCGGATACAGAGCCCCTTCTCATCTCTCACAGGCTGATCTGCATCCACATCATATTGCAGAAATTCATAGTTAAGTAATTTCTGAAATTGAACAGACAAGTGGAAATATGAGCCCCGAACAGGCCAAATGACAGGTTTATATGGGTTCGATGAGCAAAAGGAACTTCATGGGATTAGGATTAGGATTAGGATTAGGATTAGGATTAGGATTAGGATTAGGATTAAGGTTAGGGTTAGGGTTAGGGTTAGGGTTAGGGTTAGGGTTAGGGTTAGGGTTAGGGTTAGGGTTAGGGTTAGGGTTAGGATTAGGGTTAGGGTTAGGGTTATGGTTATGGTTATGGTTATGGTTATGGTTGGGGTTGGGGTTAGGGTTGGGGTTAGGATTGGGGTTGGGGTTAGGTATGTCTTTTTCTTAAAATACTCCAATTACATTTCAAATAGTTCTAAATATATAATTTTTGACCCTACATTTCTATGTCTATACAGGCTCGAGGTCTAAGTGGCTAGAAGTGGCCCAGATATTTTCTTCTCATTACCTTAATATAGAAATTGGTCCTTCCCACTGCTCCAACTTTTCCTGCATAATTAATGAATCCACCACTTCCTTCTGTAGCTCCATAAATTTCAACGATTTTGATGGGTCCAAACCTATTCAGGAACTCCTTCCAAACCTCAAGTCGCATCCCATTGCCAATGGCCATTCTCACCCTATGGTCACGGTCATTGTCCCTCTGCACGGTGAGATATCAAGGAAATTAGAGTTCTCCAAAATAAATACTATATTATGCAGCTAACCAGGTTTTTTTAAGAGATTGCTTGATGAACATTGTATAAGATGGTGGGAAGGAGTGGCAGTCCATAAAGATTGTTTACAATTAGTCTATCAAATCTACGAGGAAACTTTACCTATTTCAGACTACAGTTGCATACAGTAGTGGCCAAAATTGTGGAAACCTTTTGGGAAAAGTGTATTTTCTAAAACTAGCTAATAACACCACTTTTTTTATTTTTTGGGGAGTAGTACCATAAAATTATATATCAATGGAAAGATAATTTAATCAAGAATGTAATGCAATAACTTTTATGAAGGATTTGCTATTAGAATAGCAGTTACAGTATAAAGAAGAAAAGTGAAACAAATAGAAAAAATGAGATATACAAAAATTTCCACCATGTCAATACTTAGTTGGGTAACCTATCAGCCTCCATCAGTATTCATCTGGCTAGTGTTCCTGTCAGTGTGTGAGAGAGTTGAGGGTTGTTTGGAAATTGAAACAGTATTTTCTGTGTGAGCAACAAGGAGACAGTAAGGAGCCTGGGTGTGGCTTAGCTCAACTGTTCTGTACTAAAGCTGCATGCTGCTATGAGACTAAAACTAAAACTGAAACTGAAACTCCTCTCCTCTGCTTGTGTTTTGCTTGTATTTACTACCACATTGGAAAACCTGCTTTTCGTATTGTATATTTACTTCTATTAACTGGGTTTTATTGCTGGGTCACTTCTGACTAACAAGTTTCTTTAGTCGGCTCCATAGATTTTCAATTGGGTTAAGGTCTGGGCTATTCCCAGGTCATTCCATCAGTGGAATATGATTATTTTGAAACTTCAAAAAAAAGTGGTGTTATTAGCCATCAAAAGTTTCCACAATTTTGGCCACTACTGTAGCTATGATGCCTTTAGTTTAAACAGATAGAAATCCATGTCACCAGTCACAGGTTTGGTTTTCAAATTCTGGTTAATACCTTAGTATTAACTTGAATAGCATCTCTGAGCAAGTAGCAGGGATTCAACATTGACTAAAGCCTAGCAGAAATATTAGGAGCTACCACATTCTAGCATTTATAACCAAATGACTCAAGGGTGAAATCCAGCAGGTTCTAACTGGTTCTGGAGAACTGGTAGCGGAAATTTTGATAGTTTGGAGAACCGGCAAATACCACCTCTGGCTGACCCCAGGGTGGGATGGGAATGGAGATTTTGCAATATCCTTCCCCTGCCATGCCCACCAAACCACGCCCTCAGAACCGGTAGGGAAAAAAAATTGAATTTCACACCTGAAATGACTATTTTGTTTACTGTTTGTTTACTGTTGCTGTAACAATGCCTATTCCCTCTCTAACTCCTCAATATTATTTACGGGACCGCCTACTACCACCAATAGCCTCCCACCGGCCAGTACGCTCTCATAGAGAGGGACTCCTCCGGGTGCCGTCAGCCAAACAATGTCGGCTGGCGACCCCTAGGGGGAGAGCCTTCTCTGTGGGGGCACCTACCGTCTGGAATGAGCTCCCCCTGGAGATACGGAGGATCCCGGATCTGCGCACCTTCCGCCGCACTGTGAAGACCTTTTTATTCCAGCAGGCGGGCTTGGCCTAATCTCTTCCCTTTTAAATATGTAAATTTTAATCTGTTTTTAAATTATTGGGGTGTTTTAATCTGTCTGGGCCAAAATAATTTAATTTGATTTTATCTGGTTTTTAAATTTTTTATGTCTATGTTATTTTATTGTTTGGCTGTTCACCGCCCTGAGTCCTTCGGGAGTAGGGCGGTATACAAATCGAATAAATAAATAAATAAATAAATAAATAAATAAATAAATAAATAAATAGAAAAAATGTTGTCATTTACTAAGCTCTCCACAAATATTTCTACTTTTGAAAACTCCCTGTAATCCTTTCTTGGAGTTGAATTCTCCAGATCTATAAAAGATTAATTCAGCCTTGGAACTGGCCAGTTTGAAATGAAACTGGTCACACAAATGCAAAGCTAAGCAACCCTAAACCAGATTATATCAGACAGGCATTAATAAACTCTTAGGCACCTTTCTTAGAATACTTTTCTTTGTTTTACCTCCATATTTCTGGATCAGCTCACAAAGCTTTTTTTCAGATGTTTTACAACCTGCTAAGACCTTGTTGTGAGGAATATAAGAAGAAATAGTGCCACTGCACCATAGCATCAGTCAACCTAAAGTATATATTCCCATATAAAGATACAACACTATTCTTCTGAGAAAGATTAGTAATAATACAATTCTTTTACCTCTATAATAGATAGATTTATAGATACATATGTATCTGTACAGCTACATATATCTGTTCTATGACCTGCTGCTTGGCAAGTATACCATATTTTTCAGAGTATAAGACGCTCCGGAGTATAAGACACACCTTACTTTTGGGGGAGGAAAATAAGAAAAAAAAATTCTGCCTCAGCCTACCAGCCTCCATCGGCATTCATCTGGCTAGTGTCTTGTCAGTGTGTGAGAGAGTTGAGGGCTGTTTGGAAATTGAAACAGTATTTCCTGTGTGAGCAACAAGGAGACAGCAAGGAGCCTGGGTGTGGCTTAGCTCAACTGTTCTGTACTAAAGCTGCATGCTGCACTGAAAGTAAAACGGAAACGGAAACTCCTCTCCTCTGCTTGTGTTTTGCTTGTCTTTATTACCACGTTGGAAAACCTGCTTTTGGTATTGTATATTTACTTCATATGTTATGTTATATACAGGGGTGGGTTCTAAATATTTTAATACTGGTTCTGTGGGCTTGGCTTATTTTGTGGGCATAGCTTGGTGGGGGTGATAATGTGACTGGGTGGGTGTGGCCAACTTTTTTTTTTTTACTTTTAAAAGCATTTTTTCTACAACTTTAAGAGGTTGCAGAAAAAAAATGCTTTTAGAAGCCTCTGACGATCAGGCAACTCAGCTGGGATTGCCAGAGGCTTTTAAAGGCATTTTTTTTCCTACAACCTCTTTGACCAAAGAGGTTGCAGAAAAAAATGCTTTTAAACGCCTCTGACGATCCCAGCTGAGCCGTGCGATAATCAGAGGATTTTTTTTTCACTTTTAAAAACATTTTTTCGGCCAAAGTGGTTATAGAAAAAATGCTTTTAAAAGTTTTTTTAAAAAGCCTCTGATGAGGTGGGTGGGGCAAGCGAGCGGCGATCAGGCTGGGGACCGGTTGGGGGGCGTGGCCAGCCAATGTTATTACCGGTTCTCCGAACTAGTACAAATTTTTACTACCAGTTCTTGTGAACTGGTGTGAACCGGGAGCAACCCACCACTGGTTATATATAAAGAGAAGTTATTTGATCCTGCTGAATCAGTTACTTCTGTGTTCTTTCTGGATGTGATTGCTGCCGCAAACTCTGAGTCCTTGCAGCAAATAGCAAACAGCCAAGTCAGCTTCAGCACATTATTGCAGCCCGATTCAGCATGAGCAGCTGATTGGCGGGTGGATCGGCCTCCTGGAATACCTCCAATCAGCTGTTCCAGGCTGCAGGGATTGCCACAAACCATTACTGCCTCTGTACCTCACGTTTTTGGCTACATTCGGTGTATAAGATGCACCCAAATTTTCACCCTCTTTTGGGGGGGGGGACTCCAAAAAATACACTATATATTCCCATATAAAGATATAACACTATTCTTCTGTGAAATATTAGTAATAATACCATTCTTCCCCCCCCCTTTTACCTCTATAATCGATAGATTTATAGATACATACGTATCGGTATAGCTACATATATCTGTTCTATGACCTGCTGTTTGGCAAGTATAATTATTATTTTTTTCATGAAATAGGAAAAAGGGGAGGGAATTCGGTTACATGAAGGGACAAGGAATGGAAATAGGAGAAAGGAATACATAAACAGACTTAGCATTCATGACAAACTGTGCCTTGGACTCCACAATATGATACAAGCATAGTTATCTCCTAGATTTGCATCTGCATTGCCTGGACACTGCTACGTACAATCCGGCAAGCAGTTCCCTTCTCATTCTTTGCAATATTGTTTTCTGAAGTATTAGTCCATCTTATCAATTACCTTTGGTGCATTACACAAGTAGCGCATCATTTCTCCCACATACTGGATCACAGTGACATGATAACGTCTGCAGTCATCCCAGTAATGAGAAACAGAGAATTTAGACCTCAGAACATGTGTAGCTCCTTACATAAACAGAGAGAGAAAGTTCATGAAGTTGCTGTTATCAATAGGTTAGAACCCTGAGCTGAAATGCTCCACCCTGCAGCTTTTCAATAGCATCTTCCCCTAGTTACTGGATATCTGCCCAGTTGCTGGGTGGGCATAGCCATGGTGGGTGTGGCCTACTTGGCTTCCTGCACCATGGTGGGGGGGGGCATTTCCACCCTCCCCAGGCTCCGGAGGCTTTCCTCCAGCCTCCGGAAAGGCCAAAACGGCCTCCCCTAGGGTCCAGAGCCTGTTTCTGAACTTCTGGAACTTCCAGGAGGCCCATTTTTTGCCCTCCCTAGGCTCCTGAGACTTTCCTTGCCCTTGAGGGCAAAAATGGCGTCCCCTGGGCTCTGGAGGCCCTTTGGAGGCCAGAAATGGACCCATTTTCAGACTCCCGGAACTTCCAGGACACCCATTTTTCACCCTCCCAGAGCCTCCATGCAGGCCCTGCACTTACCTGGCATCCAAACGGGCCATGTGGAGACTCCTGGGAGGGGATGGGAGGGGATGGGAGGGGAAGAGTGGGAGGGTCCAGCCAGTCATCTCAACTACCAGTTCGACGAACCAGATATAAAATTAGCATTCGGGTCACTCAAACTGGTCCGAACTGGCTGAATCCCATTTTAGGCCTGCTTAAAAAGGCCTAAAATGATTTGGCTCCAGGACATTTGAAGAGGACAAAGTCAAGATATAAATCAGATAAATAAATATATAAATTAAGAGGTTTTCTTCTCAGCAAGTTTCCTGCTTCTGTGAATGTCATTCTTCTGCAATCAGATCTCCAAATAGGTTGGGATGTTGGCAAGAAATAGGCCATTTAGGTTTATATATATCTTTTTTACAATTTATACAGTTGTGATCAGAAAATATTTGATCCCCACATATTTGGTCCACCAATCTATCCACCCATCCTCTATTCAATGATTTACTAGTTGTTTTCTGCTTCTTTGTTTAGCTGGGTAGCCTTTACCACTTTAAGAGGTAAAGTGGTAAAGAGGTGGGATTCAGCCGGTTCGGACTGGTACAGGTGAACTGGTAGTGCGACTGCGGGAGGCTCCACCCACCTACCCAGATGTAGTGCACGACCACTGCACATGCATGGAAGGCCATACACATGTGCAGAGGAGGTGCGAGTGAGCAAAGCAAGCACATGTGCATGCACCCTCACATTTGCGAACCAGTAGGGAAGGTAAGTGAATCCCACCTCTGCATAAAACTGATACTATGACCCATCCTAGAATTACCTATTAGGAATAACTGGCAACAAATATTTCAATAAATAAATTACCAAACAAAAAGTGATGTCATTCTCATGTCCTTCCATTAGGGAGATTGTGAGTTGAAATCCCATACAATAGTCATGTGAAAATGGTCAATAAGTCACTTTTTTCAATGCTGTTGTAACTTTGAATGGTCACTAAATGAACTGTTTTAAGTCAAGGACTACCTGTACACAGGGATTGGAATGAAAAATTTCAGCAACCGGTTCACTGCCCGGTTGTTGGGTGGGCGTGGCCATGCGGGCATGGCCTACTTAGTCTCCTGCACCATGGCAGGGGGCATTTTCACCCTCCCAGAGGCTGGAAATGGGCCTGTTTCTGGACTTCTGGTACTTCCGGTACGCCTGTTTTTTGCCCTCCCCAGGCTGAGGAGGCTTTCCTGGAGCCTCCAGGAAGGCAAAACGGCCTTCCCTGGGCTCTGGAGGCTCTCCGGAGGCTGGAACCAGGCCCATTTCCAGACTTCTGCTACTTCTGGTAGACCCATTTTTCACCCTCCCAGAGCTTCCAAGTGCACCCTGCACTTACTTGGCATCCAAAATGGGCCACGTGGAGACTCCTGAGAGGGGTAGGATAGGGTGGGCAGAATCAGCCAATCCTTGGAACAACCGGTTCAGCAAACCAGATTAAAATTAACATCTGGTTCACCCGAACTGGTCTGAACCAGCTGAATCCCTCCCCTGCCTGTACATCATTACTGTTGGTAAATAATTGACACTACAGCCTTCATGTCTTCCTGCTTGCCTCCTCCTTTTTTTCCCTAACTCCTTCATGCAGAGTTATTATTATCTTGCTGGGAAAGTATCTGAGGCAGGCTGTGATGTTCTCTGTTTTATGCTATACATAAAATATAAGATGATATAAGAACTCTGTGTCTCTTGATAACACTCTGAGGGTTAAGGTCTCTTTATGTGTATTCCAGGCTCCCTGGTCCTTTGTGCCTACCCAAGTCTATGGTCCCCATTAACCCAAGGAATCCAGCTGAGTGGTACAGAGGGAGTGGAGAATAAACAACATCCTTGTTATGGACGCTGGACAGGCGAAACAGATGGGCAGCCGTGATTGCTTTCTTCTGGGAAATGATAGCAGCTTTGGGGAGTCCTGGAGGAAAGTGAAAAAGAGAATATGAAATAAAGGATGCAATGAATTTAAAGAAAACGCAAGAAATGACCATTGACAATTAGTTTCCTGATTGTATGCTTCACTTCATGGCTGATTTAGGGATTATATGACTTTGACATTTCAAAAGCACTCACTGGCAAAAGAAGAAGGAGGAGGAGGAGGAGGAGGAGGAGGAGGAGGAGGAGGAGGAGGAGGAGGAGGAGGAGGAGGAGGAGGAGGAGGAGGACAGATCAATGAACTAAAGCTTTGAAGCATGCCAATTTTCATTCAACAACAGCATCACTAGATGACATGATCAGGGGTGAAATTTGACTGGTTTGGACCGGTTCGGGAGAACCGGTAGGGACGATTTGAATCGGTTTGCCGAACCAGTAAAAACCAGCCCTGGTTGGCTCTGCCCATGCCTGCCTGCTCGCCCGCTCGCCGCTCACCCCTTCTGGCCGTTTGACCCATTAATGTTAAATGCTGCAGCAGAGAGAATCCAAACTTTTCACCCTCCATTCACAGAGAGGCTGCTCCAGCCTGTCCCTTTAAGGTAGTCCCTGGAAGGGACTACCCTTCCGGGGGGGACCATAAAAGGAGCAGCATGGAGGGAGTGGAAATGGAGTGAATGGAGGGAGAAAAGTTCGGCTTCTCCCTGCCACAGCATTCACTATGAGCTCTTCTGGTGCTGATACACATTTTTTCCAGTGATGAAATCCAATTTTTTTTTTACTACCAGTTCTGTGGGCGTGCCTTGGTGAGCATGGTGTTGCTTGATGGGGGTGACTTGGATGTGGCAGGGGAAGGATACTGCAAAATCTCCATTCCCACCCCACTCCTGGGGAAGGATAATGCAAAATCCCCATTCCAACCCCACTCCAGGGGAAGGGATACTGCAAAATCCCCATTCTTGCCCCATTCCTGGGGGAAGGATATTGGAAAATCTCCATTCCCACCCTACTCTGGGGCCAGCCGGAGGTGGTATTTGCTAATTCTCCAAAGTACTCAAAATTTCTGCTACTGGTTCTCCAAACTGCTCAAAATTTCTGCTACTGGAACCTGTCAGAACCTATTGGATTTCACCCCTGATTTTTTCCTACCAGGTTTTTTGGGCATGGCTTGGTGTGGGGATCATGTGACTGAGTGGGCATGGCCATGAGTGACATTGAATTGGCCACACCCACTCAGTCATAGGACCTCCACCACCAAACCACGCCCACAGATCTGCTAGGGAAAAAAATTGAATGTCACCACTGGATAAGATGATGATGATGCAAAGTGGACAGGTGGACATGATGGCATGATGATGTCAGGTGAGCAGGAAGCTTTGCAGACACACAAGACCTCTTACCTAACCTTGTTACTTATTACCTAACCCTGATCTAGGCTATGCATATCATAAAAACCATGCAATCATACAAGCAGAAGTCAACAGAGAGTCTTTCCTGCCAACAGCATAGTTTATCCTTCTAGGTCTCCCAGCAACCATTCCACCTTTCATGCTCCTCACCTGTGGTCCCAGAGGTGAAGATATAGAAACATATAGATTTAGGTGTTACTTTGGCTCTGAAGGAAAAGGGCACTGATTCAGCAGAACTTAATTTGATCCGTTTGAGCAGTGGCTCTACACCTTCAGTTGGGGAATCCTCACTCAGATAGAAAACACGTATCCCTTCATCATTTAAAGTAGGCAGGACATCTTCAATGGCTTCTTTTAAATCTTGAAAAAGGAAAGAAAAAATATTTGATTGAATTGACGGCCTTGTTTTTGAAAATCTAGAATAGGATAGGATAGGATAGGATAGGATAGGATAGGATAGGAGAGGAGAGGAGAGGAGAGGAGAGGAGAGGAGAGGAGAGGAGAGGAGAGGAGAGGAGAGGATAACAGAGTTGGAAGGACCTTGGAGATCTTCTAGCCTTGACTTAGCTTGACTCTCTCTTCTTTGTGGCAGCCCCTGAGATATTGGAAGACTGCTATCATGTCACCCCAGTCCTTCTTTTCATAAGACTGGACTTACCCTGCAACCATTCTTCATATGTTTTATCCTCCAGTCCCCTAATCATCTTTGTTGCTCTTCTCTGCATTCTTTCTAGAGTCTCAACACCTTTTTTACATCTCTTTTTGAGCCTCTTCCATAAATACTAGAACTAAGGAAAAACATGGCACAATCTCTGCAAAGAAATTTGCTGCCTGCATCCTTACGAGTTATACTGATATTGTTTCCTGATTGCTTATTTCTAACCTATGACTATCATTAAGTGTTGTACCTTATGATTCTTGATGAACATATTTTTTCTTTTATGTACACTGAGAGCATATGCACCAAAGACAAATTCCTTGTGTGTCCAATCTTGACCAATAAAAAATTCTATTCTATTCTATTCTGTTCTGTTCTGTTCTGTTCTGTTCTGTTCTGTTCTATAATTTTAACACCATAAATATCATGTTGAAGATATAATGCAAAGAAAAATGCAAGAGTTGGAATAATAATGTATTAGTCCATCTGTCACAAAATTGGTTCTAAATCACTGAGAATAAAAAAAAAAAACCACCATCAATAACAACGAGATTCAATAGGTTTTGCAAAATATCGTGTTGGTCCAAATAGCAGTGGGATTAAACATGATAAAATAAAATCCATACACTTTAGAATCAGAGTAAAGTGCAACAAGGCAGGCCATGTTGCAAGGATGCCAGACCATCGCATCCCCAAACAGGTCCTCTATGGTGAGCTGTCTCAAGGAAAGCGATCCCACGGGGGACAAAGGAAGCGATACAAAGACATGTTGAAAGCAGTGGTGGGATCCTCCCCGTTTAACAACTGGTTCGGTGATTGGGCATTTTGTGCACGCCCGTACCTAACGAGCGCTGCGCGTGTGCACAATCTAAAGAAATCTTCACTTCCAGTCTTGGTGCGATCGCCATGCAGTGCTATTTATCCCCTATTTCCTATTCAAGCCACCATCCGGTAGTCTGTCATCAACCCCCCCATCAGCTGATCAGCAGTCTTTGTAATTCCCACTCTGTATGTGCTTCTGATGTCCCATAATGTCATCAAATGGCACCAGGCAGGGAAGGGAGCTGGAAGCCTTTTCATTGCTGCTAGTAGTCGCCATTCGCTGTCCGATGCCTCGCAAGTGCTGTCCGCTGCCTGGATCACCTCCCACCGGCCCAGACGTCAATGTGGTTATCTCTGATGACTGCGGTTCCCCCAGCCCTCCCATATATGGCGAGTCCCGGCCGGGGTTCGACATCCGGGTTTCTTCGGAGGAGTAACAAATCCTCCGAATTTGTGATTTGCCGCACAAATCAGCTGAGGAGATAAAGGTAGGAAAATAGTTAAAAGCCTCCTTCAAGTCCCTGGATATCGACACCACCTCCTGGGAAACCCTGGCACAAGATCGATCGACATGGCGCACGCTGATCACGCAGGCTGACAGACATCTGAAGACAGCAGAACAACCATAGCAGAAGAGACGTGAGCACTCCGCAAAGCCAGAACTGCAAACGCTGCAACCCACACATGTCTGCCAGACATGTGGCAGAACATTTCATACCCGTATAGGCCTTACTTACCAGCCACCTGCGGACACACCGTGGACAGCGCACAACCTGTTAGATGTCAAGGTCCTCTTCTAACACGATGGACAAACATCATCATCAAAGTGCCAAGGAACAGAACAGTCATGATACCTAATGATACAGCTGGCCAAATTTGGCTGCAAAACATTATCCCCGAATCCCATTTCAGGTAGTTGTTGAGAAAGATGGTGCTGTAGGAATGGCACCATTTCATGCAGAAATATCCCATGTCATGTCAGGTCTAATTGTGATAGAAAGACATTCAGAAAATGACCAGTTTTCTTCTAGGACCAGAAGGTGATAAATCTTTTATTTCTCAACCCAGCTGCACTGGAAGACATGGTGGAAATGCAGTGGTGGTAGAAATTGACTCCTTTGCTAAATAGGGCTCAGTTGCTAATAAACTTTCACTCATCAGATTGCTTCCAACCACAACCACAATCACAACCTTCCTTGTTTCTTAACGATAGTCATAGGAAAACAGTTAATATAAATCTTAAGGATACCAGAAACAAGGTTACAGTCATAAATGGGAGGAGATGGGTGATAGGAACAATGAGAAGATTAATACTAATTCAGACTTAGTAACTAGTTTGACAGTGTTGAGGGAATTATTTGTTTAGCAGAGTGATGGTGTTCAGGGAAAAAAACTGTTCTTGTGTCTAGTTGTTCTGGTGTGCAGTGCTCTATAGCGTCTATATTATGATATGACTATCATTAAATGTTGTACCTTCTGATTCTTGGCAAATGTATCTTGTGTCAGGTTTCGTTGCTATCTTAAATAAACTTCATTTTCAAACTCAAAGTCTCTAATGAATCTTTTTTTTTAAGAATAGAGAACGACATTTCTGAACTCTTTTGCAGCCAAACTGGCCCCTCCTTCCAACACCCTCCCCTTCCGCTCTCCAACCCCAATGTCCCATTGGCCATCATGCAGATCCATCTCTTCGTCCCAGCACGTTCTTTCACAGGAATTTGCCCCCCTCCCTCCATCACCCAGGTAACACTATCAGCTGTATGCAGAAAACTAGGTAAAAGTTCATCTCAGCAATAAATCAACGCTTCTTCTCTTTCGTTCATTCCAATCATGTCAGCACTGGAAAAGAGCCTAATTTGGAATGCTGACATCCGGCCCCTCTCCCTTCACTTCTGCGACGTAACCTGCCCCATAGGAAAAACCACAACAAGATAAGCATCATTAGCCCCTCCTTGGCTGCGAACCCCCCCTGCTTTCCCGGGTGGTCTGCATGGAATTTTGCTATAAGGCGGTCAGCTTGGATGTTTGAGCTCTTCACCCAGGAAGCCTCTGACAATGGGTAGCCCTTCCATTTAATTAAGTATTGGAGGCGCCCCCTGTGCCATCTTGAATCAAGAATTTGCTGCACTTCGAAATGTGTTTGGCCCCCAACAACCAGGGGCACAGGGGGTTCACGTGGTGTCAGCCTTAAATTAGACCCCACTACAGGTTTTAGAAGGCTACTGTGAAAAACGGTGTGAATTTTCCCCAAAAGCCATGCCAACTGCAATTGCACTGTAACGGGGTTGATTATTTTTATTATAGGAAATGGTCCTATAAATTTCGGGCCCAATTTCTTGCTTGGGAGTCTCAGTCTCAAGTACTTGGTGGAGAGGTAAACTTTCTCTTCCAACTGAAATGGTCTTTGGGGAGTTCAGTGCTTGTCCGCTTGTTCCTTATAAGATTGAGCCGCCTTTGCCAGCGCCCTCTTAACATTCTCCCAAGTTTCTCTCAACATTGCCATCCAGTCGGTCAAACTGACTGAGGAAGGGGGCTCCCTCGGGTACTCTGGCATGGGGACAAATTCCATGCCACTCACTACTTTGAACGGGGTTAGCCCCATGCTGCTGTGGACAGCATTATTATAGGCGACCTCTGCAAAAGATAGGAGGTCTGCCCAATTGGACTGCTGGTAGTCGACATAACATCTTAAATACTGTTCTATCATAGCGTTCAGTCTTTCCGCCCCCACATTGGTGCTCGGGTGAAATGCTGAGCTGAGCCCTTGGGATGACCCTATGGAGCGTAGAAACTCCCTCCAGAACTTTGCTGTGAACTGGACCCCTCTGTCGGAAATGATTCTCCTGGGGACTCCATGTAGGCGATAAATGTGTTTCAGGAACAGTTTGGATAACTGACGGGCTGAAGGCAGTCCACTACAAGGAATGAAGTGTGCCTGTTTGGAGAATAAGTCTATTACAGTCCAGATCACTGTATTTCCACTGCTCCTCGGTAGATCTACTATAAAGTCCATTGCAATCTCCTCCCATGGTCTTGTCGGTTCAGCTACTGGTTGCAACAGCCCAGGCGGGCACCCTGGTCTTGTCTTCATCGTGGCACAAATGGTGCAGCTTTTTACATAACTGTCTATGTCCCTTCTCATGTGGGGCCACCAGAACTGCCTTTGTACTAGGTGCAGAGTCTTTAGGAACCCGAAGTGTCCTGCTGGTTTAACATCGTGGCTCCTCTTGAGAATCAGGATGCGTAAAGTCTGTGGGACATAGAGCTTTGTCTCCCTCCATGCTAGTTCATCTCTTTTTGTCAAGAGATGTTGATTGTCTCGATACCAGGGGTCTGTCAGCGTTTCATTTTTTAATTTTGCAGTTAAGTCACTTGCAAGTTGGCCCTGCTGGTCACATTGTTGCCGTCTGGTGATCACTTGAGCCGCAGCTTGGGTGGAGGGGATAATGGCATTCACTACCTGCTCCCGCTCACTGTTGTATTGGGGCATCCGGGAGAGGGTGTCAGCCAGGAAATTTCTCCCTCCTGGGATGTGCTTAAGCTCAAAATTGAAGCGATTGAAGTATTGTGCCCACCGTACTTGCCTGGGTGACAGTTTCCGTGGGGTTTTTAGGGCCTCTAGGTTTTTATGATCAGTCCAGACTTCAAACAGTTTCTGGCCTCCCTCTAGTAGGTGCCGCCAGGTCAACAAGGCCCATCTTACTGTGAACGCTTCCTTCTCCCACGCCGCCCATCGTCTCTCTGTATCGGTGAGTTTGCGAGAGGTGTAGGCACAGGGTTGTAGATCACCTTGGTTGTTCTTTTGGAGTAACACGGCTCCTACTGCCACATCACTTGCGTCTGCTTGGATGACAAAAGGCTGTTCCGGATCCGGGTGTTTTAAAACAGATTCTTTTGCAAACATTCCTTTCAGCATCTCGAATGCCTGTTGGCAGGTCAGGTTCCATTGTAGGGGTTGTCCCGGGCGAGGTTTCGTCGCTGGGCCTCCTGTCTTTAGGAGGTCCGTCAAAGGTTTGGCAATCTTCACGAACGAGGGGATGAATTGTCTGTAGAAGTTTGCAAAACCTAGGAAACTTTGCAGTTGTCTGCGGGTGCGAGGGGGCTGCCATTGTAGAACTGATTGGACCTTGGCTGTGTCCATCTCTATCCCCTCATTTGATACTCAGTAGCCCAGGTAGCCTAGCCATGATTGGTGGAAATTGCATTTTGATAGTTTGACATATAGGTTTGCCCTTAGCAGTTTTTTCAGTACTTGGCGGACGAGAGGTATATGTTCGTCTATGGTCTCCGTGTAGATGAGAATATCGTCCAGGTAGACGAGGATCCCTTTGTAAAGGTGTTCATGTAAGACTTCATTTATTAACTGCATGAACACTGCCGGGGCTCCTTGCAATCCAAAGGGCATTACTTTGAACTGGAAACTACCCAGGGGGCAGTTGAATGCTGTTTTCCATTCATCTCCTGCCTTTATGCGTACTCGGTAATAAGCTTCTCGAAGGTCTAGTTTGGTAAAAACCTTCCCTTTAGCTAGGTGGGTTAGCATGTCCTTCATGAGGGGGAGGGGGTACAAGTTGTGTACGCAAACAGCGTTGATACTTCGAAAGTCGACCACCAGTCTCATGGAGCCGTCCTTTTTCTCTTTAAACATGACCAGTGCTGCTACCCTTGGTTTTACTGGCTCAATAAATCCCCTTTGTAAGTTTTTGTCTATGTAGTCCCGCATTTCCTGCATTTCTCGGGGCGTCATGGCATACATTTTAGGTTTGGGTAGTTTCGCTCCCGGGATAATCTCAATGGCACAATCGGTCTCGCGGTGGGGGGGCAGAATGTCACACTCGGCCTCGCTGAATACCTCCGCAAGGTCTTGGTACTCCCCTGGGATCTGGTTTGCATTACAAGCGGTGGTGGGTGCGGCTGCCAATTGCTTTGCTGCACCTTCTGGGAGGGACCCTTGTGTTGGTGGTGTTTTCTTCTGTAGTGGAGGGCTGCTTTGGGGTTTCAGCGTGGGAGGGAATTCTTCTGGTCAGGGCGGCAGGGGTTGGGGCCCCTTTGCTATTCTCAGCCTGCGGGTCCCCTCTTGCCACCAAATGATTGGGCCCCATTTGTCCAGCCACGAGAGTCCCAATATGACTGGTTCTTCATCTTGGGGGCTATTATGAAGCGGATCGTCTCCCAGTGATCTGCTAGTTCTAGTCTCACGGGTTCAGTCAAGTGTGTGGTGTACGCTCCTCCCACTAGGGACCCATCAACTTGCTCAAAGCGAATTGGTTGTTTGAGCTGTTTAGCTCGGATTCCCAACTTTAGAACTGTGGGTAGGTTGATTAGGCACCGTGTGCTACCCGAGTCTATTAGGGCTTGGAAAGTCTCTTGGGCCCCTGTTTTGGGGGCTGTTAGGCGTATGGGGAAAAGAAAAGGATGGACGGGTCCACTCACCATCGGGTCGTCCTCCCTTCATCCTCCGTTCATAGGGTTCGGGGGACTGATCTCCCTCATCTGGGATTCCTCTGGTTTCGGTCAGATGAGCGAAAAACTCCGGGATTTGGGGAGCTTCCCGCGGTACGTGAGTGATGCGCTTGGGCCCTCGTTCCGGTCGTGCTTTGGGTGGTGGAGCTGGTCCCGATCTAGGCATTCCACATCTTGCTGCTATGTGGCCGCTTCCTCCACATCTGTAGCATTTCAGTGGGCTCCGTGGGGCAGTTGGTCTGTAGGAGGGCTGTGATGTTGGGGTTTCTCATCTGTTGAGTGGCCCCTGGTCTGGTCGGCCTCTTTCCTTTCCCTCTGGTGGTTTTGATGTGTCACTCACCCGCAGCCCTCTGTCGACTTTTATCGCTACCCGGAACCATTCAGCGAGTCGGTTTGGGACGGCTCCTCCCTTTCTGCCCTCTCCTCTCTGTGCTGAGCTCTGTAGGGCCGGCCTTGGTGTTGATAGTCCTCTGCCTCGCTTCTCATCCTGGGGTAGGGAGGTGCTGCCTTGTCTGGGCTTCGCTGCCATTCCCATCCCCAGTTCGCCCTTCCCAATTCACTTAGGGGCTTTTCTTTATCTTTTACATTTGCAAAGGGAAATCCCGCCTCGGAGGCTTTTGGCACAGTCCCCGGGTACTTATCTGGCTCACGTTTCTTTGCTTGAAGTTCTGCCGGGGGGGAGAAGGCGGAGAAAGTTGAACCTTTGTATTTTCCAAGTTGGCTGGGATCACGACCGCTTCTGCTCCTCCCGTTGCTTGAAGTAGGCTTTCCTCCGAGAGCTTGGCTTCAGCCATAATCCGTCCGACCAGACGTCTGGGAGGGAACGGGATGATTTAAACTCAGCCAGCCTGGGTTTGGAGGAGTTTGGCTGTCTGTCAGGTTTCGTTGCTATCTTAAATAAACTTCATTTTCAAACACAAAGTCTCTAATGAATCTTTTTTTTTATTAAGAATAGAGAACAACATTTCTGAACTCTTTTGCAGCCAAACTGGCCCCTCCTTCCAACACCCTCCCCTTCCGCTCTCCAACCCCAATGTCCCATTGGCCATCATGCAGATCCATCTCTTCGTCCCAGCACGTTCTTTCACAGGAATTTGCCCCCCTCCCTCCATCACCCAGGTAACACTATCAGCTGTATGCAGAAAACTAGGTAAAAGTTCATCTCAGCAATAAATCAACGCTTCTTCTCTTTCATTAATTCCAATCATGTCAGCGCTGGAAAAGAGCCTAATTTGGAAGGCTGACATCTTGTCTTTTTAGGTACACTGAGATCATATCCACCAAAGACAAATCCCTTGTGTGTCCAATCACACTTGGCCAATAAAGAATTCTATTCTATTCTATTCATAGGGTACAAATAAGCAATCAAGTCATACTAGGAAACAATCAATTTAAGTAGAATTCTATTCTATTCCATTCCATTCCATTCCATTCCACTCCACTCCACTCCACTCCACTCCACTCCACTCCACTCCACTCCACTCCACTCCATTCCATTCCATTCCATTCCACTCTACTCTATTTTAAAAGGAGAGAAAGGACCAGTAGTTATGACATATTTACTACTGTATTTCCCCAAAAATAAGACCTGTCTTATATTTTTTTGAAACCTGAAATAAGAGCTTGGCCTTATTGCCATGTGCTCAAAAGCCTGATTGGGCTTATTATCAGGGGATGTCTTATTTTGGGGAACACAGGGTATTTTCTATGGAAGCATTTTCCTACATGATTCTCTCACCTGGAGTTGATAGAAGAACTTTAGCCTTGCAAGATTTCAGCACATGTATCAGAGATTTGAGTCGGATGTTATAGTTGACACACGCCATGGTACAGCCAATCTTTGATAATCCGATCCAAACTGAGATATAGGCAGGGATGTTCTTGAAGAAAACAGCCATGGTATCCTCTTCTTTCAGCCCCACATAGTCCTTCATTACTCTGGCTATCTGATTGCTGTGTCTATCAATGTCTCGGTAGGAATAAACTTCATCTTCAAAGAGAATCAAGGGTTTATCTGAATATTTCTTCACTCTGGCCAAAAAGATTTCTAAGAAAGTGATCGGGGGAACATGGTTCATGTATGTGTAGCATCGATATCCCATTAATATGTACCGAATCAGGTTTTTCAGATCCAACCAAAAATAAGGGAAGAAAAATTTTCCCACCAAGGGCAGAAGAATCAAAAGCCCAAGGACAGCTGTGTATAGATCCAGCATGGTCGGGATTTAGGCTTGGTATCTTGGAAGAGGTAGATCGGATTCCGATTTATTGCAGGATCTATCCAAGCTCTGTTTGCAGGATCTATCCAAGCTCTGTTTTGCGGAAGGCAAAGAGAAGAGAAATGATGAATAATCAAAAAGATGCAATGCTCACACGCCACCCCGTTTCTCAAGGCTCCTTAAATGAAGGGACCTTTGTTCCCCAGCCAATAAAATTTGAATGACATGCTGACAGCTCTGTAATCTCAGCATGCTGCTTCTTCCTTACCTTCCTCATCTGTTGCTAAACTTCCTCATCTATAACACAGGTTATAGTGTTTTTCAGCAAGAGGCTGAATACTTATATGCAGTGCTGCCTAACTTTCGTCCTTGTGCCCACAATTTAGATCTCAAAGTCCTGAAGGGGGGAAAAAAGTTGTTGGCCCATTTGATGCTGAAAATTAACAATCTGGAAGGTCACTGGCCTTTGCAGAACAAACATTGATGACACAATTTAATCAAGAAAGGGGGAAAAAAAAACCCAGATACATTCAGCTGCAATACAAATGAAGGAAAGGCACATGCATGAACGAGGCTTACTTAATTAGTTTGGCAAAGGATCTTGCAGTCATCAGCTCTTCTTTCGAGCTGCTATCTATAGTGGGCCATATTATACTACAGCAGTTCTCTGCAATCTGGTAGTCACTAGCTACAATAGTGGCCAAAATTGTGGAAACCTTTTGGGAAAAGTGTATTTTTGAGGTTTGATGGCTAATAACACCACTTTTTTTTCTCCGAGTTTCTTTTTTTAAAAAAAATAAAAATTATTTATTTCTTTACAACAAAATATTTATTCGCACACAGATCGCGATGGGAGCTTTACAGAATATATTAATTTCAGTCAAGATATGCAAATAAAAAATAATAATAAAAAAATCTACACTAACCTTATCCTTTTTTTATTCTATTATTCAACCAAGTATACCATTGGTCCCAGCACTGAAAATATACGGAGTCCTTTTGATCTCTCAAAATTTTTGTTAACCTGTCAGCTTCCGCATATTCGATAATTTTCCCTAGAATCAGGTCTTCAGCCGGTAGGTCTTTCCCCTTCCAATGTTGAGCAAAACATATTCTTGCTGCGGTTGTGATATATGTAGTCAAACACCATATATTCGTGCCTGTCTTATCTGGCCTAATATTTAATAGATAGTATTCAGGTTTCAATTGTAATTTATATCCCGTGATTTCTAATATCCACCTCTGTATAGATCTCCAAAATTCGATTGCCTTAGGACAGGTCCACCATACATGATAATAAGTACCTATCTCCCCACACTTCCAACAATTTGGGGAGAGTCCTGGAAACATTTTGGCTAATCGAGCGGGAGGGAGATGCCATCTATACACCATTTTATACAAGTTTTCTTTATAAGTAGTTGCCATCAGAAATTTCAATTGTTTCGTCCAAATTTCTTCCCATTTTATCAATTCAATTGAGTAACCAATATTTCTCCCCCAGGCAATCATTGAGTCTTTAACAATCTCATCCCCTATCCAATAAGTTATTAAGAATTTATAGATCTTAGATAGTATACTTTCCTCCTTTCCTAATATAATACTATCTATTTCTTGCTGGGTCATATCTATACCACTTTTTTCCTTGTCTTTCTTATGTTTAGAGCTAATCTGGGCATAAGACCACCAATCCAGTTTTATTCCTTGAAGCTCTAACTCAGTTCTTGTTTTTAAACAGCCTTGGGCATCCAACAGTTCCCGATAGGATAGGTGTTTTTCTCTATTATAAAGCGAACTATATGTTGTAGCTTCTAACGGGACCAACCAAGAAAGGAGTTGAAAAGTAGAGTTTACCCTTAACTTTCCTCCATGTATCAATTAGAATATTCCTTACATAATGTCCTGCAAAACTTATATGTTTTTTAACCTTATTTTGCCAAAGAAAATAGTGCCAACCCTGTTGTAACCCCGAACCTTCCAGAATCAACAACCGTCTTCTTCTCAGTAGAATCCATTCCCTTACCCAAACTAAATTTGCAGCCTGATAATAATATTCCCATTTTGGTAAGCCAAATCCCCCTCTTTCTTTCACCTCTTAAGTTTAATTCTGGGCTTTTTATTTTGCCAGATAAATTTGAGAACACATTGATTTAACTTTTTGAAAAAAATATTGTCTAATCTAGCTGGTGCTGTATAAAATAAATATGTCCATTTTGGGAGGATATAGGATTTTATAATCGCGATCCTACCTAGTAAAGACGTCTGAAGGTTCTTCCATTTCTCTAAATCCTGTTCTGTTCGCTGGAGTAATTTCAAATAATTATCTTCTTTAATTGTTGTGCATTTAGCTGATAATATAATACCTAGGTATCGTAATTTATTGACAATTTGGAATCCCAAATTCGCTTCTAATTCCTTCCCCTGCATTATTGTCAAATTTTTAGTAATAACCTTAGTTTTTTTCTTATTTACTTTTAAACCCGCTACATTTCCATATTTTCCTAATTCATTAATCAAATTTTGACCCGATAAAATGGGGTCTTCCAATATAAATACTAGGTCATCAGCGTATGCTTGTACCTTATATTGTTGGTTTTTAATATGCAATCCTTTTATCCCCAAATTACGCCTAATTTCCCTCAATAAAGGTTCTAATGTTAAAATAAATTAGCAACGGAGAAAGCGGGCACCCCTGTCTAGTTCCTTTCTCAATGCAGATTTGTTCAGAAACATTTCCATTAATTAGAATCTTAGCAGACTGTTTTGAATAAATTGAACGAATTGCCTGAATAAACCTTTCCCCGAATTGCATATATTGTAATAAACCCACTAAAAAACTCCAACTCACTCGATCAAAGGCCTTTTGCGCATCCACAAAGACCAAAGCCAATTGTTTATCAATATGGGTTTCATAATGTTCCAAGACGTTCATAATTATTCTCACGTTATCTCTAATCTGCCTACAAGGAAGGAAACCATTTTGATCTTCATGTATAAAGTGATTTAGGAAACCTTTTAGCCTTTCTGCTAGCACTGCCGCAAATAATTTGTAATCTGCATTAAGAAAGCGAAATAGGTCTATAATTCTGGATCAGGGATAGGTCACTGCTTTCCTTCGGCAAGAGGGTTATTAATGCTTCTGACCAGGAATTTGGAATCTGTCCCTCCCGGATTACCCCATTAAATAGGTCTGTCATATAAGGATTTAAGACTTCCCAAAGTGCCTTGTAGTATTCTATTGGGAGGCCATCTGTACCAGGAGTCTTTCCTGTTTTTTGTTTTCCCATAACCCTTTCAATTTCCCCTTTGGTTATCTCCCTGTCCAGTATTTCCCTAGACATGTCTGATATTTTGGGTAGATCAGATTCTTCTAAATATTTCTTTATTTCCTGCTCAGATTTATCCTCTTTTCTATATAGATTGGAATAAAATTCCTGCGCTAATCTTTTCTTCCCTTCTTCCCCTGTAATCCATTCACCATTCCCATCTCTCAAGTTATGAATTCTACTCCTTTCCTTTTCTTTTTTTAATCGGTATGTAAGCCATCTTCCCTGTTTGTTTGCATTTTCAAATTGCCGTTGTTTCATCCACCTAATATTTTTTTCCAAGTCCTCTTGGTCTAATAAGTTAATTTGATGTCGTACTAATTTCAAATTCATATTGAGTTCTCTATTGTTTGGGTCCTGTTGCAGCATAGCCTCACTTTTGGTCAAGTCTTCTAATAATTTATCTTGTTTAGCCCTCTCCTTCTTCCGTTTCCCAGCTATATAATTAATCACTAAACCCCGAAACACTGCTTTAGCTGTTTCCCAAACATTTAAAAAGTTCGCATCTTCCTTATTATTTTCCTGAAAGAAAAAACCCATCTCCTTCTTTAAATAACTTAAGAATTGTTCATCTTTGAGGACCCTTACATCCATTCTCCACCTGGGCCTTGTTTTCAAGCCTCCCCATGTTATCCATAGTGGATTATGGTCTGCCCACTCATTAATGCCTATTTCTACTTTCTGTGTTCCCTGCCTCAGTTCCCCCGACATCCAAACCACATCTATCCGCGACCAAGATGAGTGCCTGGCGGAGAAATATGTGTACTGTCTATCTTCCAGGTGTTTTTCCCTCCAAATATCTCTAAGTCCAAATTCCTCTTGTATTTGATGGCAAATAGTAGGCAATCTTTTCTTTGCTGATCTCTTTTTTCCCTCCTGATTCTTATTTCCAGATATATAATCTTTATCCTTATCATCTATGGCATTGAAATCCCCCACTGCACAAATATGTGAGTAATCAAATTCTACCAATTTACTATAAAGATTCTGAAAAAAAACTTTTTGATTCCCATTAGGTGCATAAATATAAACCAATATGCTTTTTTTTTACCACAAATTTCTACTTCAATTATCAAAAGTCTCCCTTCTTCATCTGCAAAAATTAGTCTCGAGTTTATATGCTTTTGAACATAAATCGCTACTCCTCTTTTTTTAGTTTCCACTAGAGATGTATATAATTGACCCAATTTGGTATAATTCAGTAAATAAAGATGATCTCTTTTCAAGTGTACTTCTTGAAGGCATATAATATTCAAATGTGCTTTTATTAATTTATTAAAGATCTTTTTTCTCTTGTTCGGGCTATTCAGCCCATTAATGTTAACTGACAATAGTCGAATTTCCTCCGCCATCCCTTCTCCCTTCTGTTGCCCTTACTTGCCTTCTACTTGAAGTTTCTTTTTTGTTTGTCTTGTTTCTCTCTGGTTTAGTCCCTCGGCTCCTATTTCTGCCTGTGTCTGCATCTGTCCTTTTCCTTTCTTTCTCCCACCTGGCTGTTCTGGTTCCCCTCTCTCTTCCTCCTCTAGTAATTCTTCCCCACTCGTCCCCTCTGACTCTTCTCCCACCTCCGCTTCTAAAGGGTTCAAATGATTTATAAAAAATTCTCCGGCATCTCTAAGGTTATCAATTCTCACTTTTTTGTCAGCCCAAGTAAATTGTAACCCTTCCGGTAATAACCACCTGTATAGTCCTTTGTGTTTTCTTAATTGAGTGGTTAAGAAATGATAGTTTCGTCGTATTTCCCGTACCCATCTGGGGAGTTGCTTCAATATTATCAATTGTTTGTCCTTATATGTCACCGTTTTCTCTCTGGACTTCAAAATCACTTCTTCCCTAAGAGCTTTTTTTGATAGTCTAACATGAACCTCTGTTGGAAGTCTCTGCCTCCTAGCGTAGCTTGTAAATACACGGAAAACATCGTCTATATCTCTCAGGACATCTTTCTTAGTTATCTCCAGAATCCCAGCCAAAATATCCGCTACAATATCTCTTAAAGGCTCCCCCCGTTCTTCCACCACATTTTGTATCCTCAAGTAGAAGGCAG